TACTACTACTACTACTACTACGGATATACTGTTCTAGTTCTTCCGGCTCCTTGGGAAAATCAGAAGCCGCATATGTCAAACCTAAACCTTGTGTGGTATATAGTCGTGTCAGTCAGTACACATAGTCGAACAGTACGAGCCTGGCTTTTCACGAAGCATTACTGTTTAGTGATGCGGTGCGTGGTCCACGTGTGTCATGCATATATACATGTGTTTTTACATCTGCACACACATACGCCTCTGTGTGGTCATAGAATATGACCGTCATGTCCATTTGGGGCCCTTCACATCTCAGTGCCGTGAAGCCCTGCTAGTTGATTTCGGTGCGTGGTCGCCTGCGAGACAGCTCGGGAGTGGCAAGCTGCCCATGAAGCCACTGGAAGCACTGTCAGGATCGCAGCCAGTTTGTTGTGGACTGCTTTTTTCATTATGAAGCTACACCACGCTCTCAAAAGACTGACTTGACTGCTCTGTAGTTGTTCTGCGATTTACAATTTTTAGCTCGGGCGCAAAGATGACGCTCCTGGCGAAGAGAGGTTCCTCCAAAAGTCGAGAATTCTTTAGGGCTCGAGACGCCAGACTTAGGGATGTTTTATGTGGGCCTTCTATGCGCAGGATGAGTTATAGCTTGTCGAGCTTAGCCTTCGGGGTTTCAGCCAGAGCTCGTATGAGGATATTGCTTTCTTGTTTGTCTATGCCGTATACGTAGTTTGAAAAGTGTAAACATACCTCTACAGCATATACACAAAGTCTCCACATGCGATGTTGTGCAAGCGTGTGTTCAGTGTGTGTTCTATCGCTCGCGCAGGGTTTCTTGCCCATCGGATCGTTGTGTGTAGTTGTCGGGGTTTGGCAAGGGCTTCGGGGGGGAGGGGGCGGGGGAGGCTAACAACGACCATGCTTTTCCAGCAGGCCGGGCTTGTCCACATTTGTCTCCTGTTGCATGTTGCTTCTCATTATCAGTATGGTATTTTGTGCCCATTGCAGTACGTAGGCCTTCCTCAGATGGGTTTCCTGCTTCGCATCTTCCGCGCTGCCAGGCTCATGTCAGGGTCACCCTTGACGAGCAACATGGCTCTTGAAGTCTCAGCGCTCGGCATGTCGAGGGAAAGACGTGGTGGCCTGGAACAACGGTCGAGTGCATGTTAAAGATCCATAAGTAAGATCAGTGTACTTTGGCGGTTCCTGCCATGGCCACAGTGGCGCATGGCTTCGTGGAGTTCGCGCTCTCTCAGGAGGTGTGTCCCTAAACCCTAAACCCTAAACCCTAACCAACGCCCCTCCAGCGCATGCCAGTCCGAAGTGTCACTTTGACTCTTTCGGCCTCTTTCGGCTCTTTCTGCCTTGTGCCTGCGCGACTCTGCAGCTGCAACTCTGCTGTTGATCCGATGATGTTGCTAGAAGAATGCATGGTGGTGGAGTGCGGCTGTAGAGGTAAATCGTAATGCCCTTACTTTCCCGGCACAAGAGTACTGCTTTGAGCCTAAACTATGTATTCAGACTGATAGCTTCAAATCCCGCAGAATGCGGAACTGCTAACATCCTAGAGCATTCACAGTCTATCAAACTCTGCACTCTACACCTCATGGGTTGTTTCGATGCGGCTTCATGGAATCCTTACCGTAGCCGCATGCCGTATGCCTCATTCGAGCATTATGCTCTTACTCTTGTTTTGTAGGCGTCGACGGCCAATACAACCAATCCGGGCTCCGCGCCCCTGCAAAGCCCATGCAGTAATGGCCTGAGTCCGATGCTGTCCCGCCGAAACCTGCTTCTTTTTGCCCCTTTTCGCTGTCCCGCCGGAGGCTTGACAGCTTGCAGCCGCAACAGCATGTCATAAACACAGTGCACTACATCATCAAGCCAAGCTCTGAAGTCGTAGGTGTTCGAGGAGGAGTGTGCTGCAATGGCGACCGTAGCACCAGGGACAGGGACGCAGGAGCCATTGCTGCCCGATGGGCAGCGCTCTGGGGGACGAAGCTCCGGGGATGCAAGCTGCTTGGCCATCCCTGTGGTGTCGTGCTTCTTTTGCTTATTGCTCGACGTTCGGAGACGGCGTGCAACCCGGAAGACCTCCAGCATGTGAAGCCTCCTTACGGTGGCAACTTGCTTCCTTCCTACTTCATCCTGTCGCAGCACCTGAACCTCAGCCGAGCTGAGACGATCGTCAATGTCTATGACAAGCATTGGGCCAGGCTTGGGCATTTTTACCGCGACATCTACGGGCATTTCGGATACTCCGACCTGTCTAACCGGATCTGGTTTGAAGCACGCCGATCCATGATGAATAACATGTTCAGGTCGCGGGTACTGCCCAGGCAATTCAACCTGCAGAAGTGTAACGTTGACTTTGATGGACAGCGGGGTGGGATCTTTGACGTGAGCGAGGACAGGCTTCACGAGAGCTGGGTCCCGTATTGCGAGTTCCAGCGTTGTCCTGTCAACGTCTACAACATCACAGGACAGCCTACGAGTCCTAGCTCCAATATCCAAGGCATTCCAAGGCGATGTGCATCATGTGGCTAATGCAATCTTCAGTCTCGATTACTCGAAGAACTTGACGCTGGGAATTGGCCAGTTCCACAAGTGGCAGACTTTAGACGGATGGCTCCATCATCGCCCACGCGAAGCAACACGTCTTTTTGGACGACGGGCTCTTCGTGATCTTGACCTCAAACTGGACGGTGGACGTCTCAGAGTCTTCGCAGCTGCCAAATTGGGTTGTTGGCTTCCTAGCCGCTTTTAGAGACCTGCATTGGCAGGAGCCTCCGGGAGCGGGATGAGGATAGGCGGATACTTACTTTAGAAAAATTGCCCAGCTTGGAAAGCTCGGCAGAGAGGAGTTGAGCTGTGCGGAGTCACACGACCTCGGAGACCATTCCAAAGCTCTGAGCAAAAGAGCCGCAAGTGTTGTGCAGTCAACCTCGGCAAGTTGTCTGAGTGCAAGCCCACCAAACCCCCAAGTACACAGACGCTGCCATTGTTGCTACTACTAGTACGAGTTCTATTACTACTACTGCTGCTACTACTACTAGAACTACTACTGTTGCTGCTACTACTACTACTACTACTACTACTATCACTACTATTACTCTTACTGCTACTGATACTACTACTACTACTACTACTACTACTACTACTACTGTTGCTGCTACTACTACTACTACTACTACTATTACTACTATTACTCTTACTGCTACTACTACTACTACTACTACTTCTTCTTCTTCTACTACTACTACTACGACTCCTTCTCCTGCTGCTGCTGCTGCTACTACTACTTCTACTACTACTACTACTACTACTACTACTCCTGCTGCTGCT